TCACGTGGGGAGTACAGTCACATGTGAGGAGGGCGGCACACCATGAATCCATGGACACAGAGGCTTCTGCCTGGGACCCTACCAGACCCTAACCTATACACTTCTTTGTCTACTTGTCCTATTATAGCCCTATAAAACAAAGTAGAGGACTTTCCTAGATCCTGAGTTGTTCTAGCAAATTACCTAACCTAAGATGGGGAGGTCTTGGGAACCTCCAAACCACTGAAAAAAAAACAAGCAAGACAGATGCGTGTCTGGGCCGCACATGCGTGGCTGGGCAGCACATACATGTCTGGCCTCTGAAACAAGCGGCAGTCTTGGTCAATGCAGCCCTGAATATGTGAGATCTTCCCTAATCCTGGGAGTCAGTGTGAGAAATGACGTTGAAGACATCGGGTGGATGTCTGAGAACTGGAGACAAAGTTGATAAGGAAGAAGAAAAATCACAAAATTGATGTCAGGAAAAAAAAATCACGTCTTTGATATTGGAAGTAATCCCTATTATTTCAGCCATAACCTTCCTTTCCAAATTTCTTCTCCCTACCAAGTCTCTATCCTATCTCCTTCCTTGTCTCCAAACCTCATTCCTCAAACTGTGCTGGCTGTCAGCCTTGTTCCTGTTGCTACCTCTCAAAATCTGCCCAGCTCAAAACCAGCTCAACAAAAACTGCAATGGCTCAACTGAACAGTCTCAACTGTGCCAACAACATCCAGATCCAGTTGCTTTGTGTGCTTCAGGCCTAAGGGGAGGGCTGGGAGCAAGGGACTCAAGTCAACCCCATTCCACAGTTCTGCTAGGAGCCCCAAGGTTTTGGGAAGATGAAGGATTGCACAGAGCTAGGAACGGCTTAGCAACACCTGCTCCTCCCAGCCCTCCTCCCCAGTCGGGTCTGCACTGTGGGTTCTCTGACTCTTCCAGTGAGCTCCTCCTGCGAGTCTGCACATTGGTATCCCTCACTCTGCCTCCTTCTTTCCCTCCAAGCCTCTAGTCCTCACCAGTGGTTTGTGAATGTTAGCTCAGAGGAAGTTATTTTATCAGTGCACAGTGAGATGGAAACAACGACAAGCAAACAGTGCGAAAAACTAGTTCCCTTCAAAGGCAGACACATGCCCGCACCACTGGGTGATGATCTGAGCACCTAGAAACATATCTTCCTAAGGCAGAACACCCATGGGATACGGTTATTGTACATCAGAAGACATGTATTGGCTATTATCATGACACATCTGTCCACAGAATGCACTGGGATTTCTGTCCCTCAGTGCTATCACAGTGTGAAGCATTTCTGGCTTGCTGTAAGTATATTTTTCTTAGGTGAGCCTTCTCGGGAAACAATACAGGATCACGGAGTAGTTCATTCATCAGTTGGGCTTGCGGGTACTTGTGCCTTTTCCGCTACTCTGGCGAGACAGTACTTCTTAGCCCTTGGCGTTGGGGGGGACCATGTGGCTAGTTCTGGCCAGGCTTGTGCCTTGTCTGAAGGAAATTATGTCTGTTTCCTGGACCTTTAGTATGGGGTAATAGCACTCTCCAGGAGATTTTGAGGACTCAATAAATTAGCTGTTAATTAACTGCATGGAAAGCAGGTATGTTCGTTCCAATGAGCCTGGCACAAGTGGAAGGTGATCAGAAAAAAACAAAAAAACCACTTCCCTTCCTCCCCTCTTTTTCTCAGCATCCAGAAGTTATTGCCTTGATTCAGATCTGCATTCCACTGTAGAATTGTAATGGTATATTATCTTGATTCATTTGCTCCTCAGTTTTCTCAACTGTGAAATGTAGCTATGGAACTCACTGGGTTGTCAAGGGGCTCACCAGCGCAGCACTCGGTGTAATAACCTCACTTTCAAGTTTCATGAAATTCCAAGACTCCCCAGAGACCTTGCTGGAAGTGCGGGTGGCGGGGGGAGGCCCACAGGGCCTCCTGGTCATCCTTGGCTCTGGCCTTGTTGGGGCGTTAACTACTTCATGACCTGTTTCAGAAGAAAACCTGTCCTCTTGCCTCAACTGTCACAACTCCCACTAACAGTGATGGGAGCCATGTAGGCACGCAGGAGCCTCTGGAAATATTTGGAACAGGTAGCAGGTGTTGGTCATGGCTCACCTGGGTTTTGTGTGCCGGCTGGTGAGCCTTCACCAGCTGCCGTGGGTGTGGGCAGGTGACGTTCACAGCTGCTCCTTTCTCTGGAGAATTTTCCTCTGCTGGTGTGGGAAATGGAGGGCCAGTCTCCTCATCCCAAAGCGGGGCCAATTCTGGAAGTAATTTGTGCTGCAGACACTTCTGCGGGAACAGCCTGAAGTTAGTACGAAGTTTTGAGCACTGTTCCCTTCTGGTTAATGAGGCATAATTGACAAATAAAACTGTGATATTTAAGGTGTATAACATGCTGATTTGATAGACACATCATGATAATCACAATCTAGTTAGCACATTCATCACCTCACATGGTGCGTGTGTGTGTGTGTGTGTGTGTGAAACAGAGAGAGAGAGAGAATGAGGAAAATTAAGATCCTCAGCAAATTTCAAATTTATACTACAGCATTATTAACAACAGTTACCATATTGTACACTAGATTCTCAGAATTAATTCATGATTACTAAGAGTTCTTTAAAAAAAATACACATGGGCCTGGTGCAATAGCCTAGTGGATAAATCTTTACCTTGCAACCACCAGGATCCCATATGAGCACCATTTTGTGTCCTAGCAGCTCCACTTCCCATCCAGCTCCCTGCTTGTAGCCTGGGAAAGCAGTCAAGGTCAGTTCAAAGCCTTGGGACCCTGAACCTGTGTGGGAGACCTGGAAGAAGTTCCTGGCTCCTGGCTTTGGATTGGTGCAGCTCTGGCGATTGTGGCCACTTAGGGAGTGAACTAGAGAACAGGAGATCTTCCTTTCTCTCTCCTTCTCTCTGTAAATGTGCCTTTCCAATAAAAATAAATACATCTTTTTGAAGAATACACATGAGTACTTAAAAATCCATTAAAAATAAGAATTTAAAGGTGTTTATTTTTGCATAAAAATTCAAAATGATGCATAGTTTTTTTTTTCATAATATGCATTTCAATAAATTTGTTGGCAACCTCTGCCTTTTCAGGTCTACCATTAGGCAGGTGCATCAGAAGTGGAGCAGCTGAAATACAAAACCGCACCCATATGGGATGCTGGCATTACAGGCAGGAGCTTTACCTGCAATGCCACATTGCCAGCCTGTGTTGCAATCTTTCTGTATCTGGTTTATTTTTCTTGGCATAATTTTCAACAAGTTCATTCATATTGTCACAAATGACAATAGTTCCCTCATATTTATACCTGGGTAATATTCCACTGTATATGTATATATGTGCCACGTTTTTATTGATGGAGTCTGTACCTTGGGCTATTATCAATAACGCTATTATCAATAATGCTACAATTATTAATAATAACGCTCCCAAGAGGATGCTGCAGATACTCATTGAGTATCTGGCTGTATCAACTTGCATTCCAACAACTTAGAAGCATTTCTTTTTCTCCACATTCTTCCCAACACATTCTATCCCTCAGCTTTTTAACAATAGCTATCCTAACACATGTAAGATGAAACCTCATTATAATTTTGATTGCGATTCTCTGATGGCCAGTGATGTTGAGTACCATTTCAAATACGTTAGCCACGTTTAAATTTTCCTTGGAAAAACACCTATTCAAGTCCTTTGCCCATTTAGACAATCATATCATTTATTTGTGCTATTGAGTTGTGTAAATTCCTTATGTATCTTGGATACTAACCCCTCATTGAATATATAATTTCCCCCACCTTGTAGGCTACTTTTTCATTTTGTTGTTTCCTCTACTATGAATAAGCTTTTAGTTTAATGTAGTTCTATTTCTAGGAATTTCATAGTCCCAGATGGCACATTTAACTTTTTAAGCTTCTTTGAGTTGATTTATGTGTATGGCGTAAGACAAGGTTCCAATTTCATCTTTTTGACATACCTTCCTCCCCCCATTGTGTGACACCCTTGTCAAAAATTAGCTGGATTAGTTGGCTTACTTCGCATGTTTTTTTTTTTTTTTTTTATTGGAAAGGCGGATATACAGAGAGGAAGATCTTCCGTCCGATAATCCACTCCCTAAGTGAGCTGAACAGTCGATGCTATGCCGATCCGAAGCCAGGAGCCTCTTCCGGGTCTCCCACGCAGGTGCAGGTTCCCAAAGCTTTGGGCCGCCCTCGACTGCTTTCCCAGGCCACAGGCAGGGAGCTGGAAGGGAAGCGGGGCTGCCGGGATTAGAACCGGCGCCCATGTGGGATCCCGGGCATGCAAGGCGAGGACCTTAACCACTTGCGCCACCGCGCCGGGCCCCGCATGGGGTTATTTTTATACGCATCCATTTTTATACAAGGACTAGGACTGTTTGCCGTAGTCCTTTTCTTCACGCGATGTTTATTTGTTTGTTTGTTTGTTTACTTTTCCATCCAGCACACTGTAAAAACTCACCGAGGCAGAGGCAAGACAAGGTCTTGTTGGGCGTCGCCTGCAGCGGGGTAGGGTCAGTACCCAGCAGCGCTGCCCAGTACGCGTTCATTTGAAGTTCTGAACTATCCCAAGTTTACTCCCAGAAATTTACCTCAGCTTCCTGTCTGGTTTTCCTGCTTCAGAACACCAATTTTATCTCTGATTCAAGAGTAACCTTTCTAAAACCGGCACTTGATCATCTCACCTCTGCTCGGCAGTCCGCCATCCCAGGTTCTCTTGCCAGTGTCCAGCCTTTTTACCTCAGGTTGGACCACCACGCCCCCCATGGATCCACCCATGCTTACAGGGGCACTGGGACCAGAGGGACCACAACTCCCACAAGGCATCGCGCAGCTGCACCATATGATTGGACATATCTCTGGCGGTGGCCAATAAAACTTAGTTTTATTGGCTAGCAGACAGGCTGAGTCCTGGGAAGTGTCGAGCACCGGCAGCGCGGCGTCTGCCTGGTTGCTCTGGAGCCGGGGAGCGTGGCTACCCGCCGGCTACCTACCCCCGCCTCCAGCCATGGGGAGCACGGAGAGCAGCGAGAGCCGTAGAGTGTCCTTCGGAATGGACGAGGAGGAGCGGGTCCGGGTGCTGCAGGGCATCCGGGTGAGCGGCCACCTGGGCAGGGGCGGGCGCGGAGGGCACCCGAGGGCGCGGAGGCCGTGGGCCCAGCCTGAGGGGGCGGTGCGGAGCGAGAGCGCGGCCGGGAGTGTTTGTCGCCATTCCCTTCGCTGGTGGAGTCTACCCTCGGTGTGAAGGAGGTGTGGAGCTCGGGAAATGCCCGGGGCCCTCTCCACGAAGATCCTGTGCCAGGACGCGAACCCAAAGCTGGCGATCTTCAAGCTACACGGCACTGGCCTAGGGGAGAAGCAGTGGGGAAGGGGACATATGGGGAGGCCACTGGGGTACAAGAGACTTTTGGAGCCACGTTCCAGCCCCCGATCGGTATAATATTTACATTTCCTGAGTTTGTGCCCCTCCGCCGCCACTCACTTCACCTGCAGTTGTGCCCGTCTGGTTCAGTGTGCGGGAGGTGTTGCTAATCCTGGATGACTGCGGACCCCTCAGCCCTCACTGTCCACTCTTGTCCCGATTGTAAATCACGTCATGTATCCATCCTTGCCCCATGCCTACAACCCTCCAAGGGATTTTTAGCATATTGAAGTCTGTTCTTATAAGACTGCCTTGGTGCTGTCCACGGCAGTTCAGGCCAGTTCCCTCATTACCCAACCCCTGCTTGTGGACTAGCCTCAGGATTTGAGTTACTCATTCTTTCTGGAAAATGCACAGAATCTCGGCATTTGCTGTTGTTTTGGGGAAGGTTTATTTGTTGATTTGAAATGCAGAGTTACACAGAGAGAAGTGAGACAGAGAGCTTCCATTTGCTTATTCATTCCCTTTATAAACAGCAGCTCCCAGTTCTGACCTGAGCCACAACCAGAAACTGGCAACTTCATCTGGTCTACCATGTGGGTGGGGCACAAACACTTGGGACTTCCACTGCTGTGTTCCCTGGGCACATTAGCAGCCAGCTGGATTGGAAGTGGAGCCATAGGGTCACCAGCTAGCATCCATAGGGGAAGCTGACACTACAACAGCCACACCTGTTGTTTCCTCTTGCACATTTGGTTAAGTCTAGTTCTTTCTGGTCATTTCTGTTATATAGCTCCAATGTCATTTGAGAGTTTTTCCTGACTAGTCAGTAAGTAGAGAGCTTCACACCTCATGGTTGCACATGTTTTCCCAGCATTCATCACAGTTTGAACCTTTTCTTAATAATTGTGTTTCTCCCTACCATGCAAGCTTCTTGGGGTGAAGGTTCTTGTCTGATTCACCCTATACCCCAGAACCTGGAATACTTAAAGTAACTCACTTCTCAGTGTGTAGCGGAACTGTAGGTTGTGCTAAACTCTTAGAGATACCAACACATTTAACTTTTGGTAGCCCTATTTATCAAAGGTAGAATTCTGTTAGCCTGTTTTGTAGATTTTACAGGTTAGGAGAACTGACATAATGGGAAGTGAAATTTAGGTAGCAGCAGGCTGAATATAGAGCCTGTTTATTGACCTGCTATGCTTTACCTGTGCCTTACCCATAGTGTACCTGCTTCAGTGGAATGCACAGTGCTTGGTGTAAGCGACTTTGTCATTAGGTGGGTCAGAAAAAGACTTTGTTATATCTGACTTCTAGACCCAGCTATTCGTTAGCTACATGACCTTCCTTAGGTGAGCTGCTTGACTCTGGAGTCTCATTTGCTATGTTAAGAACAACCCAAGGAAGCTGCCTAGGGTAAAATGGAGAGGTGAGGGAAGGTGTTTAGAAAATGCAGGATCTTGGTAGAGTCTCTTCTTTGCCTAATAGAGTATGTGGCACGTTGGGCACTCATTGGGAATTATACAGACTTGTTTTCCGAGCTGTGGCAAGGATAAGTTGGGAGGAGAAAGCTTGCGTTGGAAGGGGGGACAGTGTCCTGAATTGGAATTTGGAAAGTTTCCCTTGGCTGTCTGCACTACTGATTCTCCTCTATTTTGAGTAATGACTGTTTTGTAAAGATGGAGAAACAGGCCTATTGCTTAAGAACCTTAGCTACGATCCTTTTTAAGTAACTTCAGGAACAGAATCCAAATCTTTTGGATGCAAAGATCAGCCTTTTCTCTCACTATTCCACCCTTAACCCCATATCACATGTGTGACAGCCTGGAAAGTTGTAACCCGTCCTGATAGGGCTGCTGGTGTCTCTTGGTTTTACCAGACCTTTAAAACGAGAAGGAATTATAGTGATTGCTTCCTTTGTACACCTGGGAAAAACAGTCTGTGAATTTCTAACTCATCTAGAGGTGTGTAGTGAGGACCCCATGTTAGGAGACTCCCATATGTCTTGCTTGTGTACCTGGTTTGGAAGAGGAAGGATCAAGAAAAGGCAGTGATGAAAAGAAAAGTTTTGGTGTTGGGGCTTTTTCTGTTAGCAGGGTCACTCGAGGGTCGACAAGTTCACCTTGACTGTGGATAGGCAAGTAAAAATCAGAAAAGGAGATCAACAAAGGAGTTACCAACGTGAACAAATGAACATTTTGTAGGAGGAAGATGCTAAAGAAGATGATTTGTCCCCACTCTTTGACGGAAAGTCAAGTAGTCCCAAAGATCACTTGTGTGTAACCCCCAGAGACTGAGTCTTGAAAATGCCCTGTTCTCCTTAAAATTAAGTGCTAAGGCCATGATGATTTGCATACTGATTTGCACACATTTACATAGTTCAAGCTCCAATCCCATGGCAGGTAAAAGAGATTTAATGAATGCAAAACACTGCAATTATATTCAATTCCATTTTTCAGGGCAAGCATGCATGAAATACACAGAGATTTTGTGTCAAGCAGTACGTTTAACTTCATTGTCCAATAAGAGAAGACCACACATGGACAGCTATGTCCTGTATGTGGGTTTCCTCTGCCCTGTCCCATGGAAGCAACCATCTTTGATGATTCAGCTGAAGTTGGTCGTCAACATCCAGGTTCCAGCCTCTTCCTCTTTGCAGCCTGCTGGAGCCTTGTGCTTCAGCCGGGTCCTCAGCCTCACTGCAGCTCCCAGCTAGACAGTGTTTCTGTTGTTCATGTCTCCTGGGAGGCCGATTCTGGAGCCAGCTACACAAAAGACAGTCCCCAGACGTGCTAGTAGCTGCCAGTTGTCACCTCAGCAAATGTTTACCGTGAACATGTTACTTGCTCTGCATCAGGCCTTGCTGAGACAATAAGGGACAATGCCAAGGTCCTTTCCATCATACAAACCTTAGGCTAGAAGGCGGAATGGATCAAAAAGAGACAAGAGGGTAAAACACCTGGTAGTGTTAAAAGGGAATAAAAAAGGGTACAGGGACATGGGGCTTAACAACTGCTTGAGGTGGAGTGTCAGATAACGTCTCCCTGAGGAAGTGACCTGAACGACAGGACCTGAGCCAGCCCTGGGGAGAGTGAACTTGTGTTGTCCTAAGCAATGTGCCAAGTGTATCAAGAGCATCATTTTGCATCCTCAGCATGCTAACCTTGTGAGATGATCATGACCCCTGTGGTGGGGAGAGGAAGCAGATCGGGGGAGGTGTCATCACTGAAGGCCACAGAGTGGTGTTGGGCTGGAAGCTCAGGGCCACTGACTCCACAGCCTGGGTGCCTGGCAGCCGCCGGGGGTAGGAGGTTGGGCAGCTTAGGCCAGGTGCTGAGGCCAGGCTGGGCTGTGAATATATTATCCTGGAGGCTGCCTTACGTTCTTCTAATCAGGAGCACTGTTTTGGAAAGTTATTATCTGCTGATGCTGATGTCTACCCCAACCCATTAAAAAAAAAAATAAAACAGCTCTAGTGAGATGTATTTTACATATCATAAAATTCACTCATTTCAATATTTTTGAGCACATTTACAAAATTGGGCAACCACTACTACAGCTCAATTTTAGAACAGATTCAAGGCCTAAAAAAAAAAAAAATCTCGTGCCTGTCTGCATTCGCTTGTCATTAACACTTCCACTCCCAGGTGACCACTGAGCCTGCTGCCTCTTTCAATTTCCCTTCTCTGAGTTTTTGTTTGGAATCTTTTTCCTAGCATAATACTTTCACTGTTGGCTCATTAGCACTGTAGTGTATCAGCAGTTAGTTCCTTTTCATTGCTGAATAATAGCTTCCTATGTATGCATATGCTGCATTTAGTCACCTGTTGATGGCTGTTTAGTTGTATCTAAGTTCTTGGCTATTATGAATCGTGTTGCTGTGAACATTTGTGGACAAATTTTTTTTGGGGGGGAGGAAGATGAGCGTGCATTCATTCTTCATGAATAAGCAACCGACTGTAGACCATTCTTTTTGAAGTCTGACTTTTGAAGTCAACATGCTTTGTGAAGTGATTGTATTTCTGTTTTGACCAGCAGGCTCTGAGGTCCTGGCTCCTCCCTGTCTTCACTCATGCTCCTCCTTGTCTGTCTTTTTGATTATGGCCAACTCTAGTGGTTGGGAAATGGTATCACTGTAGTTTGAATTTGCATCTCCCGTATAACTAATGATGTTGAGTATTTTTTTGTATGTGTGTTTTGCTGCCCCGTATGTTTTCAGAGTGTGCATTCAAATCTTTTGTCTGTTTATAATTGGGTTATTTGTCTTTTCGTTATTGTGTTATATGATTTCTTTGAGCTGGGTACTAACCTTTTTATGAAATCATTATTTGCAGTACTTCAAAAAAGATTTTTAAAGATTTATTTATTGGAAAGTCAGGTATACATACAGGAAGAGAGACAGAGAGGAAGATCTTCTGTCCACTGATTCACTCCCCAAGTGGCTGCAATGGCCAGAGCTGAGCTGATTCAAAGCCAGAAGCCAGGAGCTTCCTCTGGGTCTCACGTAGGTGCAGGGTCCTGGGGACTTGGGCAGTCTTCCATTGCTTTCCCAGGCCACAAGCAGGGAGCTGGATGGCAAGTGGAGCTGGTGGGGCATGAGCCGGTACCCCTATGGGATCCTGCCTCATGCAAGGTGAGGACTTTAGATGCTAGGCTACTATGCCAGGCCCTAAAAATATTTTTTAAAAGATATATTTTATTTTTATTTGAGTGGCAGAGTTACAGAGAGAAGG